CCTTGAGCATCCTTCTTCCCTTGAGCATCCTTCTTCCCTTGAGCATCCTTCCTCCCTTGAGCATCCCTCCTCCCTTGAGCATCCTTCCTTCCCTGAGCATCCTTCCTCCCTTGAGCATCCTTCCTCCCTTGAGCATCCCTCCTCCCTTGAGTATCTTCCCTTCCTTCCTTGAGCATCCTTCCTTCCTATTATCCAGTCCTCTGCCAGCGCCACACTGGTTGATATACCTCATGTTAAACCTTTATTCAAAGTATATGTTAGAAGGTAATCTCATCTTTGTCTTTACTGTTCAGCATCTTTATAGAATGGGCCTTTGATTCTCATTAGAAGACTGAGTCTTCAGGAAGTGCAGGGATTTATTTAATGTCACTCATTGACTGGGCTAGTAACCATAGAAGAGAATGGGGATGTTTATTAAAAGTCACTGCCTTATAATAATAATAGTTAATAATAATAATAATAATAATAATAATAATAATAAACCCAGGCCTTTTGATGACTACTCTGCAGTTCTCTCAGTGAGAGCCTATATTTTCCCCAAATACACAGAGATGGGTTTAAAATAAAATGGGTGATTTCCCGAAGAAGCATTTGACTCTAAGAAATGAACCTACTCCGGCTACTGGATTAGAACAGAACAACAAAGCAGAAAGTGTGGATAGCCCCCACGAGTTAAGTTTTCTAGAATCAGAAGCCAGAAAGCTGAACAGGACCCCAAATAGTCCATCTGGGTCTCAAGCTCACCAGGGGAGCACAGCTTCCGGCCTCTGCCTACGTCCTTCATGCTCTATCACCTCCCCAGTGAACCTCAATGTGATGACTCTAGCCAAGCTGTAGAAGGGGCCCATCTGAGACTGAGCCTTCAGACTTCTGTGGAAAACTCACCTTCTACCTACACCCAGCCAAACTACCAATCTATGTGCCCAGAGAGACACTGTTCGATGTACAATGGCTTTAAAAAGCTTGCCATCTGTGTGAATGTTTCTCAATGCAGGAGATTGATCCCAGGACCTAGATCATGCTAAGTCATGCCAAGTCAGTACTTTGTCACTGAGCCACATGCCAGCCTCATACAATTTTTTTTTTAAAGAATCCACCAACCCAGCATGGTGGCTCATACCTATAATCTCAGCACTCAGGAAAATAAGACTGATCGTGAGTTTTGGGCCTGAGCTACATAGCTAGACCATGTCAGCAAACACACAAACAAACATTATCTTAGCCCTCCACCCACAGTAAATAAAAATCTGAGAGGGAGGGCCTTTTAATAAACATTCCTATTCTCTTCTATGGTTACTAATCATTCAAATGGTCCACTTCTCTTCAGTTAGATCTATATTTTCTTCTTTCCTTGTTTGCTGCTACCTACCTAAACGGCCCGTCACTCGGCACTTCTAACTATTCTTCCACCAAAATCCTCTCCCCAGGCTTCTGTGAGTGTTCTCTGGCTTGTTTAATTTCTCGTTTACTTTGCCTCTCTCTCCTCCTCCCATCTATCGAACCTAAGTCCTCACCTAACCTATCTTCCCTCCCTCCCCTGAGTTTGCATCTACCCTGGTTTAAACCTGCACTTCACAAGCGATCCACATGTCACCTTCTCCAGCTCTACCTCCTTCCCAATGCTTTAACCAAATGCCATCAGCTGGACCACCTCCTGGCAGCACCCCATCTCCCCAAACTTGTCTTCTTGAGACTAGCATCTGTCCATGACTGTAAAAGGAGCAGTGGGCCGCTTCCCGCAGGCCCGCCCGGCTAGCTTTACCCGAAATAATTACACGGAAACTGTATTCATTTAAACACTGCCTGGCCCATTATCTGTAGCCTCTTATTGGCTCCCTCTTACATATTGATTAACCCATATCTAATAATCTGTGTAGCACCACGAGGTGGTGGCTTACCAGGAGGATTCTAACCTGCGGCTGTCTCGGAGAGGAGAGTCATGGCGTCTGCCTCACTGCCTTCTTCCTCCCAGCATTCTGTTCTGTTTACTCCGCCTACCTATGTTCTGACCTATCAGGCCAATCCAGTTTTTTTTTATTAACCAATGAAAGTAACACATAGACAGATAACCTTCCTCCATCACATGACTCTCGGTCAAAGTCCTGGTTCCTCATTTTCCTCACCCATCTAGTAAGGTACTACAAGTTTCCCTATGTTTGCTATTTTCTTTTCAAATGATTCCCAAGTTTCTCTCACATCACAGTTAAAACATTCCTCTCAACTTTAACAAGTGAGGTCCTTGAGATTGCCAAAGTTTCCTCTTTCACACTTGCTCCAGTACCTACATTGTTCAATAAATGGACCATCAACCCTATATCGTCCCAATTCACTGAAGGTTGCCACTGACTTATGGAGAAAGTTAGCTTGTATATTCTATGCCATCACTCAGAGAATTAAAGACTTCTCAGTGTCTACAATGTCTAAATCATGTTAGCTTATATGAGGCGCTAGTTCATCAGTTCTCAACCTGTGGGTCACAACCCCTTTGGGGGTCAATATCCCACATATCAGATATTCACATTACAATTCATAACAGTAACAAAGTTACAGTTGTGCACTAGCAATGAAATAATCCTATGGTTGGGGGTCACCGCAGCATGAGGAACTGTATTGAAGGGTCGCAGCATTAGGAAGGCTGAGAACCCCTGCTCCAGGCTAGTTCGTTGTATTTATCTGGCCCCTCTGCTCCAGTTAAACTGCAGAAGTGGCTATTCTCCTGCCTCCTCTTCACTCACTTGATGGATACTCACTGTACATCCTGAGCACAATGCCAAGCGTTGGACACAAGAATGGGGTGCAACAGTCCTTGCTCCTTAGAACCCGAAGTTCACAGTTTCCTAATGAGTTTCTACTTGAGTGACAGGGAAGGCTATGTAGACTCTAGCACATACAATCGTCAGCTGTGGGAATAAGGTTCCTTCTGGAAGGTAAGAGCAGACAGGCAGCAGGCGGCACTAACAAACAGTGCCCACCGTGTACTGAGTACTTAGCAGGTAAGGGGCATTGTGCTGATATTTGTCTCCACAGACTTTCAGGAGGTGTTGTTGTTGTCCCGTGACAACAGGTTCTCAGCACTCACTCAGAGGGGCAGCGGCAGACGCTCCAACTCTATTCCAGCGCCCAAGGTTCTGATTTATTTATTTATTTATTTTGGTTTTTCGAGACAAGGTTTCTCATATTATATAGCTTTGGAGCCTGTCCTGGAACTCGCTCTGTAGACCAGGCTGGCCTTGAACTCACAGAGGTCCACTGGCTCGGCCCAAAATTTTAACTTATGCTAAATTGCTCTATCTATTATAGAAGACTGTTTATAATGAATACAGTTGAGGAAACCCAAGTCCCCAAGTATGAGGTGAGCTGTTTTCCCTTCCTGTTAACACTCCAGAGCTCCTCCGAGGTCGACTTGTCTCTGTCTCTGGCGAAGGCCAGGTTCTGTGTTTATCTGCTCAGCTTAAGCCTGTCACCGTAGCCACAGATATCAAAACTGCTTATTCAGGAAGTGAACTGTGCTGCCAGGCATTCTTTGAGATCACGTGGGAAATGCAACAAAAGGAAGTCCTGACCTCTGACCCCCTCTCCTGATCCACGATTCTCTTTTGAACCTGGAACAGGGAACCACACTGAGATAAGATCGAGACAAAGGCAGGACCATATCAACAGCACTCTCAGTTCAGACTTCCTGCAAGTAAAGGCCTGCAGGATGCTGGTCACCATCCTGGTGGCTCTTCAAGGTATGTTCAGAAGAGATTTCAGCGCTCCAAGCTATGAGTTTGTATCCTTGCCAGTTTAATTATTTCCTAGGTGGGAAAGTACAGAAAGGAAGGAGGGGAAAACATGTTCCCCAAGGCTTGGCCATCTACAGAAGAGTGCAAACCAGTATGTGGGGGAAACCAGCTTAAAGTTACTAAAGTCCTCATGCTGTAGCTACGTGGAGACAGACAAGTCAGACTTCCCTCTGGGTAAGAGGTCAGGCCTCTTAGGAAAGGTCTGTGGGAGACAAGAAGCACAGCTGCCCCCACTCACTCAATGAACACAGCAATGCCAGTACAAGCCACAGGTCTCTAGGTATCACATGAAGATGAACAAGGCAGGAGACAGGGTCGGCCTGAGGTGGAGTTTGAACACAGCTCCTCCACAAAAATGATGACCATATTGAGTTTTAAAAGACTGAGACGTTTAATAATTTTCCACTAAGATTTTGCATAACAAATAAATGACACAAGATTTTGACTGTCCCTGGCAGCCAAAGGGGCCAGCTTCTACACAGGGGACATGAGGATGGAGCAGTCTGGTCACTTACTCATACTGATTACAAGTTTCCCTAGTGGGTTATGCTATATTCTTGTTAATAAATGCTATTTCTTCAGGCACACTCTGAGTACACACTCAAAGGGAAACGGGGTTCACCTTGCACTATTGCCACTACCTGACTCCAGAGTCACCCCAGAACAGCAAGGCCTCTGCTCCCAGTTCCCTTTTCTAGTGAAGAACAAAGCCTTACATTCAATTGTTTTCTCCTGTACTCAAGGAGCTTTAAAGGTACACAAAAGAAAAAACAACACTAAATCATACACTACTTATGAAGCTGTGTGACTGAGACCTGGTCCCTCCATGCAGCCCAGACTGGTTTCCAACTCAGTAGTACCCCAGGCATCGGACCACTGGGATTACAGGTGTGAACAACCACGCCCAGCTTTTCCTTCTCTTCCTCTTCCTCCAATCCCAGCCTTAGTAGACAGAGGGAAGAGGCAGCATTCAGCAGAAAAACGCACACATTTCGGGGGCCTTAGCGATATCATGGAGACCAAGTTCTAATGTTTTTTTCTTCCATGTCAGGTTAAAGTGAAGGACTGTCCTGATCCCTGTGCCTCCCTCTGTGCCTCCCACACAGCCCAGATACTATGTTCACACATTTCCCCATTCCCTCTCTAATCACGAGAGCCTATCAAACAGCCACAGGACGGGCTCAAATCAGGTGTTCTGTTTCCCAGTTAGTCTAAGTTGTGAGGTAGTGATACAAACCATTCATTTTCTTTCGACAGCTCTATACACCTTGTGACAAAAAAAAAAAAACAAAAACAAAACAAAAACTTCAAAAGAAGGTACAGCAAGATAAATCTGACAACGCACATGGGAAGAACAGGACAGGGAACAGATGCTGAGTAGACCAAGAATCTGGAAGGCCAGCAAGATGGCTCAGCCAAGAACAGGAGCTTGCCTGCCAAGGTTCAGCTCAAACCTTTGCACCCACATGGTGGAAGGAGAGAACTGACTCCCCCAAGCTGTCCTCTGACCTCCACGGGAGTGCCGTGCTCTGACCCCAATAAATAAAATCATTCCAGGGACCTGGCAGAGCGTTTGGCATACTTCTGGATCTTTCTTCCTTATTGCCAGCACAAGTTTGCCTACTCCCGCCTCATTGCCAAGAAAGAAAACATTTTACAAGTGTGCCTGGTGTGCTGGCCTTAAATACCAGGTATGTTTTATACCACAGAATAATGGTTTGTCTCCCCTGCAACACAGTAAAATAAGCAAGTTCTAATTTTATATGTGTGTGTGATACGTGTGTGCGTGCACGCTGAACACGTGGAGGTCAGAGAACAACTCCTGGGAGCTGGTTCTCTCCTTCCTCTGTGAGGGCTGGAGATCAAACTCAGGTGGCCAGGCTTGTGCAAGTGCTAACAGCTGTCTGTAACTCCAGGCTCTGACACCCTCGCACAGACATACAGGCAGGCAAAACACCAACACATATAAAAATAATAAATAAATCATAAAAGAAAACTGTACTTCTAACTGGGCCAGTGCATGCTTTTAATCCCTGCCTTTGGAAGGCAGAAGCAGGAGAATCTCTGTGAGTTCGAGGCCTGGTCTACAGAGTGAGTTCCAGGACAGCCAGAGCTACACAGAGAAACCTTGTCTCAAAACCAAACCAAACAAAAGACAGCTGTACTTCTGATTAGAAAAAAATGGCCACCACAAGCCACAGCCAGGATCTCAGCAAGAAGGAAAAGCTACAACAGCTACTTTGTTTATATGGATATCATTTAATCTGTCATAAAGCAAATGTAAAAAGAGGAAAAAAAAATCTCAAACCTGAATGTCTACAGTTCCTCTTGTCTGGGACATCTTCTGGCTCAGTTAAGAGCTACACTTGGTCCTGGGACACGCCCCTAGACACGCACACTGTATTCTAATTTCCATTAGAACCCCCAGGACAGTGTCACCTGTGTGCCCAGACAAGGACATTAGTACCAGCCAGAATTTCCTCCCGCAGGAATGACACCATTCCATTAACTCTTCCCCAGATCCATTCATAGAAATTTGGAGACTCACTTTGGAGACTCTAAGAGCAGTCTCTTAGAGCAACTTCCTTTCTTCCTTCCTTCCTTCCTTCCTTCCTTCCTTCCTTCCTTTCTTCCTTCCTTCCTTCCTTCCTTTAAGATTTATTTATTTATTATGTATACAGCATTCTGTCTGGATGTTTGCCTACAGGCCAGAAGAGGGAGCCAGATCTCACGATAGATAGTTGTGAGCCATCATGTGGTTGCTGGGAATTGAACTCAGGACCTCTGGAAGAGCAGCCTGTACTCTCAACTGCTGAGCCATCTCTCCAGATCTCCGTTAATCCCACAACCCTGTATTCATCATCTTGAATAAATATATACACATATATATTCATATAAATAATGTATAATGGTTCATATATATTCATATAATACATTGTGTGTACGTATACAGTTAGAGTGGCGTACAGGCTGAGGCCCGACTGGTCCAGTAATGGCTGTCCAACAGAAGGTCCAAGGATCTAGTAGTTGCACAGTTGTTGCACGGTTGCACAGATGCACAGTTGTTGCACAGTTTACTAGGTTGGATGTCTCAGCTTGTCTGTAGTATTTGCTGGGATCCTGAAGAAGTAGGTGCGACTTTTTCACTTGATGGCAAGTGAGAATGAACTTGCCATCAAAAGCAAAGGCAAGCAGACAAAGAGCAGAAGCTTCCTTCTTCCATGTCCTTTGTAGAGGCTACCACCAGAAGGTGTGGCCCAGATTAAACGTGGATCTTCCCACATCAAAAGATCCAGATCAAAGATGGGTCTTCCTGCATCAAATGGTTTAATTAAAACAAATCCCTCACTGATGTGCTGGTGTGGGCAGTCCTTCTGTCTCTGTGTTGCTTTTATTGGTTAGTGAACAAAGAACTGCTTTGAGCCTATGGCAGGGAAGAACAGAACTAGGTGGGGAAAACTAGGCTGTATGCTGGGAGGAAGAAGGGCGGAGTCGGGAGACACCATGGAGCCACTAGAGACAGATGTGCTGTAACTTTGCTGGTGGCCATGACCTTGTGGTGATGCACAGATTAATGGAGATGGGTTAAATTAATATGTAAGAGTTAGCCAATAAGAAACCACAGCTAATGGGCCAAGCAGTGATTTAAATAATACAATTTCTGTGTGGTTATTTCGGGTCTAAGCTAGCCGGGTGGCCGGGAAGAACAAGCGGCCTCCTCCAACAGTGTGCCCTTCATTTTTGGAGTTTAGTTCATTCCAGATGTTGACAAGTTGACAACCAAGAATAGCCATCACGAAGCCAGACAGTGGTGGAACACACCTTTAATCCCAGTATTCGGGAGGCAGAGGCAAGTGGATCTTTGTGAGTTTGAGGCCAGTCTGGTTTACAGAGCGAGTTTCAGGACAGGCTTCAAAGCTACAGAGAAACCCTCTCTCAAAAATAAATAAATAGATAAATAAATAAATAAAACAAAAAATAAATAAATAGCCATCACAAGCACGTTTATCTTCCCATTTCTTTACCACAGAGGAAAAGGTTTTGCCCTTGATATTTAAGTATCTATTATACAAACCCTGCTTCTACAGTTTGCTTCCTTCACTGACGTGAGTCTCACAGCAGCTTAGCAGACAACTCTGAAGCTTCCCTCACTTCTAAGCCCCTTTGGTGCAATTTAGACGAGGCATACTAAGCTTTTCTTGAGTAATCTTGCTGTCCTTGAGGACCAGTACTTGTAGCCAGACAGAAACTGACGTTTGCAAGAGGTCATGGGAGATTCAAAGTGCTACCAAACATTTATCAATAGTATTAACCCTGGTATGGTACACCTATAGTCCCAGCCCTTGCGAGGCTGCGGGGCAGGAGGACAGTGAGCTCAAGGCCAGCCTGGACTATAGAGCATGACCCTGTGACAAAAAGAAAGTGTGGGGGGGAGGGGGCTAGCATGCAACTGAAGCTTAGCTTTAGTGTGTGCTCTTAGAGCACTTGATGTCCTTGGTTCAATTCCTCAGTCCCCTCAAAACCATAAATACATATAGACAAACAAATAAAACCAATATGAAAATTAATAACCAAGCCAAGCGTGGAAATGCACACCAGTATTCCTAGCCCTGGAGGCTGAGGCAGTAGGGTCTGAGGTTCCAAGCCAGTTTGGGCTATATAGTGAGACACGTTCTCACACTAACCAAGGTAACTGGGGTGTGTGGCTCCCAGTAGAGTGCTTTCCAGCATTTATGAAGTCCTGGGTTCCAACCCCAGCAACACATAAACTGGGCATGGTGGCACACTCATATAATCCCACACTGAAGGGATTCAGAAACCCAAGGTTGTACTAGGTAACAACATGAACCCTTCCCTCCCTCCCCCCTCAAACACACACACACACACACACACACACACACACACGCGTGAGTTCAACTGATTATAATATATGTGTACTAGATAATAAACATCCTTAAGTCATTTGTTCTTGACCCTTGGAGATGACCAAGTTTTACTTTAAGCGGATCTCTGCCATTGACCATGTAATGAGGTACCTACCTATCCAAGCCAAGTGTCCTGTAAGAGAGAAATCCTGAAAAAATGGGGCCTGTTTGTATATGAGAGAAGCAGAATGTGAGATTCCAATCTCCCCGCTGCCTGTTGACTCGGTGGCCACCAGGTCTTTTCTTCCTCCAAGGTGCAATCTGTATATGCACGTGTCTGAGAGTATATATATTATCTAGATATACATACACAGAGAGAAGGAGGAAGGAGTGGAGAGAGGGAAGGAAGAGGGACAGGGGTGTGCACACCTTTAATCCCAGCGCCGGGCGAGGGGGGGGCGGTGGGCAGGTCAATGTCAGTGATTTTCCAGCTTGGTTTACATAGTGAATTCCAGGACAGCCAGGGCTATATAGAGAGACCTTGCCTCAAAAAAGCAAACAAAGAAAAAACCAAATTCTTCCTTTAAATCTCCTAATTTGAGATTCAACTATTGGATTACCAGAGAACTGTTAAAAAAACAGTTATCTGAGAACTTACAAAACTGTCACAGATCAATTGTTAATCAATAAATTTATATTGAGATAAGGAAAGCATTTAATCTACAGTCATTCTTTTTAATTGCATGTATATGTGCATCTTTGTAGGTATTTGCTATATGCATATGGGTGTCCAGGGAGGCCAGAAGAAGTCACCGCATACCCTGGAGCTGCAGCAATGAGCAGCCACGAGCCACTTGACATGGGTGCTGGGAACTGAACTCAAGTCCTAGGCAAGAACATGAAGTCTTCTTTTCTTTTTTTTTTCTTTTTCATTCTTTTTGTTTGTTTTTTTGAGACAGGATTTCTTTGTGTAGCCTTTGGCTGTCCCAGAACTAGCTTTGTAGATCAGGCTGGCCTCAAACTCATGGAGTTCCACCTGCCTGTACCTCTGAGTGTGTGCCACCACTGCTTGGCAAAAGTAGATTCTTTTCTCATACAATATATCCTGATTATAGTTTTCCCTCCCTCCACTCCTTCCAGCTCCTCCCCAACTCCTCTCCTTTCTGTCTCTCATTAGAAAAGAACAGGCTTCCAAGAAACAACGGCAGAACATACAACATAGAATGTAATAAGATGAAGCAAAAACTATCATATCAAAGTTGGACACAGAAACCCAAGAGAAGAAAAAGAGTCCCAAGAGCAGTCACTAGAGTCTGAGGCTCATGGTTAGGAGTCCTGTTGTAGGGAGGCTGCTTGTTTGTTCCTGGCTGCTCAGCCCCGAAATAATCACACAGAACCATATTATTTGCAATATTGTTTGGCCAATAGCTTAAGCGTATTTCTAGCTAACTCCTATCTTAGATTAACCCATCTTCATTAATCTATGTATCGCCACATGGCTGTGGCTTACCGGGTAAAGTTCCAGCCTCTGTCTCAGGTGGGCTACATGGCTTCTCCTGACTTTGCCTTCTTTCTCCCAGTATTCAGCCTAGCTTTCCCCACCTAGTTGTTGTTGTTGTTGTTGTTGTTGTTGTTGTTGTTCTTCTTCTTCTTCTTCTTCTTCTTCTTCTTCTTCTTCTTCTTCTTC